GAAGTTTTCACATCTGTGCTGGAAGCAGGTCCGCACGTGCGGGGATAGCGGCGCACGTGCGGGACTGTGCGGGACAGCAGCTCAAAAACGTGATTTTTGGACTATTTCTTACATTTTCTTTTCCTCTCTTCTTCTCCCCTCCTCCATGTCCGAAACCCTAGCCCCCAAAACCTTGATTTTCTCTACTTTTATCAACAATCCACCATGGTTCTTGCATCAAGGATGGAGAACAAGAGAAGATCAACATTTTCTACCGATTGGATTTCGAAATTTTGGAGGAATCTCATCAAGCTTGCTTGATTCTTGAGGTATGAAATCTTAGGAGTTAAATTGATGGGTTTAAATGGTGAATTATGAATCCTAGGTGTTTAATCAATGGGAAAATGTGAATAAAAAGTAATGTGTTAATAAGTTTGAATTTGTCTTGAAATTTCAATATTTTCTTGAAACCCTAGGTTGATTAATGATGATAACCAATGATTTGGCCCAAATTGAAAGTAGATTAATGAAATTGAGATATTGAATTATATATGTACAAGTTCAATTGGAATTTGGAAATGTTTGAAAATTATGTTTAAAATTTGCGAATGAACTTTGTTATGAACGTTGTAATTCATGCTTTAATGTAAAGGAAAAATTGGGAAAATAATTTATTAAGGATATGGATGACATGAACTTGGTTGTGGAATGTTGAAATGGGATTCAAGGATTTAGTTTGAATTATGTTGAATTGCAAATTGATGTGTAATTGGTATAAAGAAAATTAAACAAGTTAAGAACGGAATAATTATATGTGACCCGATTTCTATGTGTATTATGAATTATGTAAGGTCAGCTATTGTTAACATTCAATGATCGTTAATGATTTTTATTGTTAACTGTGAGTAGTAGTACGGTAGTCTTATATTCAATGATCGTTAATGATTCTTATTGTTAACATTCTATTTCTTGCAAGTATGTTGATTGGAAAATCTAAAGGCATTATTGCGCAATACATTTTATTATTGTTGACAAAGAATACTAACATTATGTGCAAGATATCTATAGTGATTCATGACGAACCAAGGGAACGTATAAGCACTATGGAATCATGGTATTCACGTATCTCTGAAATCACTCAATTTGTAAATGTGCTTATCTCTCATTGGTAATTATCAGGAATGTCCTGTTAAACTTAAGTCAACTCATGTGAATGATGTAACGGCTACCAGTAGTACTCTGCTAAGTACAAGTCAAATATGGTAACATATATGAACGAGCAAACAAAGGTGTATGCTTCTATATGCCATTAATAGATCAAGTGAACTACGCTATTTCTTAACGAATAATTAGCTAAGATCACGGATTGTTTTATACGTTAATACCTGCTAAGTATTATGATAAATAACGGATTGACTTACGGATGGCTCAACCCAAAGACAGAATTAAATATCGATGACCTTGTCATGTAACCCACATTATGATGTAACCTGTTCTATCTTTGCTAAGTGTATTGTAATGACATGATATAAGAAGAAATGTTTTATGTTCTAATATGTTATATATTGACGTAATGAACAGTTGGCCATATATGTAAGGTATTCATGACATCCATAGCACACGACCCTTACCCGGGGGTAATAATACCGTGTTTTCAAATATGTTACAAGTTCAAGTATGTTTTCAAGTATGTTACAAGTTCAAGTATGTTACAAGTATATGCATGTTACAAGTTCAAGTATGGTACAAAGTTATATTTATTACAAGTTCAAGTATGGTACAAGGTTATATATATTACAAGTTCAAGTATATACAAGTTTACGTATGTTACAAGTTTACAAGTTTAAGTCTGTTACAAGTTTATGTATGTTATAAGTTTAAGTTTGTTACAAGTTCACGTATGTTATAAGTTCAAGGATATTACAAGTTCTTAGAACCAAGGAACAAGAATGCTTTATATTGACTTGTTAGCACTATTGAAGTGCCAGGTATAATTAAGTTTGAATTCTGATTTTTGTTTATGAATTAAGCATAATGCATATGTATGAATTTGTTTCTGTTTATGATATGACATGATATGTATGGTTGGTCTGGAACAAAGTGCTACTTGGAACTAAGTGCTACATTGTGAGCCACCTCTAGAGTCCATGTGAGCCACCTCTTGAGTCCATACATATATGAATGAGGCTTATAGCCAATCTGGGCCTATGGCCATTCTATATGATCTATGAGGCCAGAGGCCATTCTGTATTTTCAGTATGGAACAAAGTGCTGTACGGAACTAAATGCTGTAATGCGAGTCATCTCTAGAATCCGTTCACGAGCCACCTCTTGAGTCCATACATATGTTATGAGGCCTATGGCCATTCTAGATAAGTTATTATAATATGAAACAAAGTGCTACACGGAACTAAGTACTACGATGTGAGTCACCTCTAGAGTCCGTGTGAGACACCTCTTGAATTCATACACATATGTTCAAGGGCTTCATGCCATATGTTCAAGGGCTTCATGCCATATGTACAAGGGCTATATGCCAACATATTTAAAAGTTTAATGCTAAATATGTTCAAGGGCTATCGCCACTTTGTTCAAGGGCTTAAAGCCATTATGTTCCAAGATATTATGTTTCAAGTCAATATGTTTCAAGATTGGGCCTTAGGCCGTTCAAGAATTAATACAGAATCAATTAACCTTATGCTTTATTATTTATGTATGCATTGATATGTATTATAATTCAAGTTGAGCATTGAATCGTTTATGTACTATTATTCACTGAGCTTCGCTCACTTTATATTATGTCTGTTTTGTAGGTAATCACTTTGGGAGTCCGTCTTAACCCTTGAAGCTCACCCTTCAGTTGTCAACCTCAGTATGCCCAGGCTCCCAGACCAAGTCTATGCATTTATGTCAAGTTTTGTTAAGATTTTGGCTTGCACTTTAATTATTTACCTAAGGTTAAAATGTATGTATATGACCCCTTTCTATACCAATGTTTGTTTATGCGGTCATGTATGTGTATGGGTATGTCTAAAAATAAATGACTCTCACGAATGTGATCCTGGCATGTTAGGTTTAGCTCAATGGATGCTTTTCTGTGTTATTTTATTATATTAAATGCTTCCATTCAGGCCCCATATGATATGTATATCAGGTTAAGTATCCGTTTCTGTATGGGTCATGCACGAACTTTTAGGGGCGAGTTTGGGGTGTGACAGATTAGTTAGGCTGATAGTTAAAATTTGGTAATTTCCTCCGAATCTTCCTGATCAAAACCATATGGAATTAACAAATTTTAACCAACAGCTTAACTGTTGGCCCGTTTTCGCTTTCGAATGTTAGATTTGTAATTTAAGTGTGCTAACAAGGATTAATAAGTCCCTACAAAAACATTTGATTGCCAACCAATTAACCATACGATTGCTTCGAAGTTTTTTTAGCCTCAATGAAGAGAACTTTTACTGGTGGCTTGTTTTAGGAGAAAATTTAGAAAAAATAATTCATAAAAGTAATAGAAATAGGCAGAAACAGTGTCAGAAATTAATTTTACTAAGTAAACAAAAGTTTACAATAGTACCTTCGCACTTTCACAGCTTTGAAAGGGATTACATCAACAGACTACTTTAGAACTACTCCAAGGAAATTGAAGTGCAGTTTAGGAAGCAAAGAACTGAAAACAAAAGACTGGAAATGTAAATTAAAATAAACTAATTTCTAGATCTGGTTCAGGTGTCTTCCATTGTTAGCCTTCTCTTCTATTTATAAGCTTTGATGGTAACTATTGAAGTGGCTGATAACCATCGAAGTAACCCCCATGATTGCTGAACATGGCTTCAAGCAGTTTGCCTCCACTAAGTCACTCCTGAAGTTAGGTTTCCCTCATAAATTTGAATTTAAACTTCCCATAACCGTTTGGTCACGTCATCTTGCTTGCATTGCTTGTTCTAGTACTTTGCAGATCCATCGTTATTGTTGTAATCTGCTACGCGTCTTCTAGTGATTGGAGACCTTCATTGATTTCCCAAATTACCCTTTACAAGCCATGTGTCAGACTGCAATTGGCTTGTACAAAATATATAGCCAACACTAACTGATCAATCAATTTTGTCATCCAACTAGTCCAATCCAATTCACTTACCTTATTAAACCACATAGGCTGAGTTAGTGCGGGATGTCTAGTTTTTGAGCACACCCCTACACATAACCACTATTGCAAAAAAAAAAAAAAAAAAAAAAAAGAAAAAAAGAAAAAAAAAAAAAAAAAAAAGAAGAAAAATCAAACCAACATAGCTCAAAAAAAAAAACCATTTCGACCCATTGGAGCTTCGAAATTTCAAGGCCTCAAGCATTTCAGTAAATTTATTATCAAATTTAAATTTGATAAAAAAATTACTTTTTAATATTCTAACAGTTTATCAAATTCGATATCAAATCTAAAATTTTAATTTTTTTTTTATCAAACTCAAGATCAATATGTCTTCCATTCATCAAATCACAGTATTGTTATATTTTTATCATCAAATGTCTTCTAAACGTTCTTAAATGACCACCTCAAAATAAAAATTTATAAAAATATTATACTAACTAATCGATCGGCCAATCGTTCACCAGCAATTTGATAAAACACTGTTAGAGTATTTGATATGAAAAGAAATTTTTACCTAATTTTTATTTAACTTTAGGCCTCGTTTAGAAACAGGCTAATTTAGTAACTTTTTGGCTATTTGGCTAAAAAGGTAGGTAAAAAAACTTAAATGTTTGGGATGACTTTTTAGCTAATTACGAGAAGATGTGCAAAAAGTAGAGAGAAAAGAGAATCTTTGACTTTTTGGTATGAATTATTGAATTTTTGACTAATTTAATAACTTTTTAGTTAATTGACTAAAATAGTCTCTTGCCAAACGAGGCCTTAGTAAAAATATTGATGCAAAGCTCTCACTGTCTTACAAGATACATTACACTGTACACTGTAGTTTCAGATATATATAGAAAGGGAAAAAGAGCACTCTGCCCCATAAAAATAAAAATAAATAAAGGAGAAAAATTTGCATTCAGAAAATGACTTGTAACAGTTGTAGTAGTTCACCAATAGTTCTCTGTATTGTTCTCAAGACAAGAGTCAATTCAAATTCACATTAATTGTTGAGAATTGAGTTCCAATTTCATTTCTCTCTCTCTTACTTTCTCAGAATTCACAGGCTTTTTTGTAAACCCATTTTGTTAAGAGTTGAATTTTGAAAACTAGGGTTGGGTTATGCGCAATGGCATTGATTTGGGTTCTGTTACTTTGCTTGTTTTGACAGTTGGTTTGTGGGTTTTGTTGGGATTTTTGTAAGAACGCTTGGTGTTTAAGGTTAGAAAAAAATATGGGTTGGTGAGGGTGGTGAACCTGTTTGCCCCTCTCTCTCTCTCTCTCTCTCTCTTCAATATCAAGCCTTTTCTCTTTCCTAGGGTTTGGTAAGCTGTAAAACTAGCTTGAATTTCTTGCCTTTTCTTTAGGTTCTAAGCCTTTGAATTCAAACCCTTCCTCTTCCGCTTGTTTTAGCTTCTGCTTCTTTTCTTTTCCTTGCATTTACTTTTGTTTATGTATTTATCTATATTTCTGATCCCTATGTATTCTCATGTTTTGCCCAACAGTTTTTAAATATTTTATTTTAGATTTGTAGATTTCTAGCAACTGTATTCCAAGCATTCTCCTTAAAATATATATATATTTTTTCTATTTTATATTGAATTTTGTTCTATTTGTAGACTTGAATGAAGCTTCTTCACTTTGTACTATGAAGAACATGTGTTTGTTGTGTAGCCCCACTGAGTTCTTCCTCTAGTGCTGCTTTCATATCTCTTTCCTTTTGCTCATTGCAGCATTTTGTTTATCAAAGTTCTGGCACATTGTGAAAACAGTGTTTGGTAGCAAGATTTTCAAGATTCTAGCACATTGTGAAAACAGTGTTTGGTATCTAAGAATTGGGTTTTGTCTTGTTTATCTCAAAGAAAGTTAAGAGTAGAGTGGGGACTTGGAATTTTTGATCAAAGACAGGTGAATTGGTTGAAATTGAGATTTGGGTCAAATTTGGTTTCCAGGTAAAAGTTGAAGCTTTCAGGAGTAAATGTATGGATCGCAGGGAAGCTATGTCATTTTCAGGGTCTACTTATTACATGCAGAGAGGGATGCCTGAGTCAGGTTCGGGGGCTGGGGTACAGGGCTCACCGGGCATTCCATTATCTAATCTAAATGTATCATTTCAATCGAACATTGGGGGTAGTTCAATTGGATCAACAATGCCAATAGAGCCTTCATTGGCAATTTCACATCATGGGGTTGATGTGGGTTCACCGTCTGCTATGCCATCAACTGAGCGTGTAAGAAGAAAAAGAGGACGTCCTCGAAAATACGGGCCTGATGAGAGTCATGGGACTGTGGCATTGGCATTGTCTCCCACTTCATCTAATCCTCCGGTGACTACAACCCCGAACCAGAAGCGGGGTAGAGGACGGCCCCCGGGGACTGGGCGGAAGCAACAATTAGCTTCTCTTGGTAAGTATTTTTATAGTGATCTAAGAGAATTTCCAATTGTTCAATAGCCAAACGTCTACATATTGATATATTTTAGCAATAATAGTGTCAAAATGTTATGTTTTAGCAATGTTGATTTAATGGTGCAAATGTTATTTCTTCTATTTTTCTTTCAAAAAACCAAATAGAAATGCTATGTGTGGGTCCCAGCACATGAGCGTATAAACAAAAGGGCTTGTCAAATTTTAGCTATAGCTAAACCTTGTGTTAAATTTGGCACAAGGTGTAGTTAGCCATCGGAGAACCCAAAATTGAGTTTCATGCTATTTTTTAAGCAGTAGCAAGCCTTTTTGCATAGCATTGGTGAAGCATAGCCTTTTAGCATACATAGATTAACCATGATGAATAGGACTTGCAGATGGTTTTAGGCCAAGTTTGGCTAACCTAAAAAAGTGCACTTATTTCATCTTTTTATCTTTTTTGGATCACATCATTCAACATCTCCTCTCTACTTTTTCTACACATAATACAAAAAAAGTCAAAAAGTACACTTATTTAGTCTTCCCAAACTTGGCCTTAGTTAGGGGTTGTTTGGGGTGTCCTAAATAAGTGTATTTTTTATCTTTTTGGATTAAAAAATTGAGGAAAAAAATATAGATGTTTGGGTTAATTTTTTTACTTTTTATGAAAAAACGTGTATTAAAAAATTATAAAAATTAGTTTGTAGGGAAAAATTAAAAATTGAGAGTTGTGTAGCCGTAATTGTTGACTTTTGGTGAATAGTGTTAACTTTTTAACTTTTTGAGTAACTTTTTGACTTTTTCTTATCTTCCCAAATTTGGCCTTAATCTCAGCAACATTATAGTGGAAACAGTTGAATTATTTAGCAATTTTGATTTTTACGTATGGGAAGTTCTTCCATTTTTGCAAGGTTGGTCATTATCGTCATGTTGGTAAATATCAACTTTTAAAATGCACTAGTGCGAAATAGCACGACTAGGTATTGGCAATTTGATACTCAATTTTTATTTTTTATTGATAAACGTGGATGTGTTCTGACATGGAAAAGTAGTCTAAATATATTTTAGACTTAAAAAAGTTACAACTAGCAACAAGTGCTCATTGGAACAATGTAATTGGTTAAAATGTTCTACCTCCCACTTGTACAATATAAAAGAGTTCATGACAATATTACATGTGCTGTCATTATAATCAGTGTTTTTGGTATTATATATTATTCTAAAAGTGCCATAACTACTGGAAAAGCTCACTATCCTCATTTCCTGCTGTAGAAGTTTTGTTTGTCATAGAGTTAGTGATGTAGTTAATTTATATTGTATCATTTAGATTCATTATTACTTCAAAAAAGTAAAGTTACAGCCATTTTAATATTTTAATGTAAATCTCTCTATTTTAATATTTTAGCAGCAATTTGAATGGTTGTACTAGGAAAAACCAATGATGGTCAAGATTGAGTAAATCTAACGGTTAGTGTTGTTTCCCAAAGTCCAATTGCTGAGTGCTACATAGGACAACTAGCGAAATTGCCCATGCTTGAAGGAACTTCATTATTTGGGAAGCAATGCTAACTGTTAGATTTATTCAATCTTGACCCTCAACTATGTCATGCGGGACATTTTTCAAAACTGATTTGTTTTATTATATAGATTGTTGGGAGTTTTGCGAAGTGTCAAGTTTCCAAAACCAAGCAATTAGTTTTCAGGTTATGAGCATGTCTCTCCCACAAATGTCTGATTTGTCAAACACATTTGTACATGTGTTCTAAAGTGTCGGTGTCCCACATAGATGTGTCTACTCTATAGAAATGCCCATGTTATTAGTATATTGGAGCTTGAAGTATTTGTTAGCTTCTTGAGTAAGGTGAACCTGCAAAACCAATAGAATATAGAAATTCAAGTGGAACAAGGAAAAGAGATACAGATTTATCAAAAAAAAAGAAAAGGAAGAGAGATAGACTTTTCAACAATGGATCAACACTCTGGTCCTGTACAAATATTTATATTCGAATGCATAACCACTTCCCAAGGTAAGTGGGTTTGTTATGCAAATTGTGGCAGATATTGTCCTCAATTGTCTCCTAGTTAAATGGTGTCTGTTATCTAGTGAGAAATATGAAGAAGTATAATCCTGTATAACATTCACTCGATGGGTCTTCCAAGTCGAATCTCCATCAAGTTGACTTGGTAAGACAGTCTTCCCAGATTCTAAATGGCGTAAATAGATGACACATGGTATGCAAACTTGTAATATTTGAAACCTTATTTTATGGATAATAATACTTAATTTTGTAAATAAGTATTACATGGTGCACCAATACAATATGAGGTTTTCCCATCAACGGTGTTATCCATCATAATGAAAACAGGGCTTTTTGGTGACATAATCCAACAATATTTTGGTATGAGAAACTAGTGAGGAAACTCTAATTAATTATTCTGCATTTAGACACCATAAACAGTATGTTAATTAGAGCTGTGCAAACATAATTTCGTGGTGCAAAATCATATCCCTCTGGTATGCTCTTTTGTTGTTTAAAAATATTAGTGCTGTATTCTTTATGGTATCCCATCCCCAACACATTAACAGGCCTTTGTCTTGATGCTAGGTGTAGGAAAATGGGGCCAAAATAGACTTGAGCAATTTGCATGACATTTTGAAGGAATTGGTTTCAAGTTTTAGTGTGGCACTAGTTGAGTTTGACACGCTGGTGGACCTAGAAATATAACTTTTATTGATAACACTCTAGTACACAAAACAGTTGTACACAATCACACACTAATACACTTTACTTATCCACTCACACATACATTCAAGCACTCACACTTTGTGTCTTCCTCACACAAGGCCTTAAGACCTTAGTTGCACGAAGCGGGAGCGGTGGCGGGAGCGGGGAATCGTAGTCATTCCAAGAATCGTTGGTAGGGAGCGTTTGTATATATATTAAATAATATAATATATAAAAATATATTGTAAGATTATATATATATATATTTTTCTCTACGATCTTGGACTGAATCGCGTTTCTCTCTCCACAGAAACGCGATTCTTACACGTTTCTTCCTAGGAAACGCAGAATCGAGTAAGAATCGCCACCTGGTTGCACGATTCCTGCAACTAAGCTTAAGACACTTCACACTAGATAGTACTTGACCACTTACTTTGGACTCACTTTAGACTCACTCTTCTTTCACTCAATTGTCCAATTGCTTAGTACATGCACTCATCTTATATTTATACTAGTTAAAGAACTTTTTAGAATACACTCGTACTTAACCTACACTCTAGAACAATCTTGATTACTCTAGTACATATTAGAGCTTTCTATTATTCTCTAAAATATTTTAGAACTTTCCGAAACTTTCTAGATTTCTCTAGTTTTCTCCAAACTTCTTTAATGTTCCGGAACCTTCTAGGATATTTTAGAATCTTCCGGATTTCTCTGGGTCTTTCCAGAATCTTCTAGATCTTTTCGGAGTATTCTAGATATAAGTGGAAACTTCTAGAATATTCTAGAGAGAAGATTTTAAAGAGCGAGGAGAGTTAGTGATGACTCTTAACACTCTCCCTCAGCACTAACTCTCATTTGTAGATTATGTAGCCATGCCATGTTGTTTCGGAAATTCTTCGTGAGTATATCTGCACCCTGGTCCTCTGCCACGATAAACTTTGTCCCCATCTCTTCTAATATTGACTTCCCTCTTTTGAAATGATTTATTCTTCCATGGAACACCACGTCCTTGGCCAGCTGTAGGATTCCCATCCTCCAATTTAGATAGCGAGTGCCACGTTTGAATATGTGTTGATGCATCAATATCTTCTTTTGTTGTCTTCCTCCAATTGTTAAATTTTGTTGTTTCCTGAAATGTTATTGGCTCCTTTATATCATCCATCTTAGCAAAGGTTGCATCAACATACCTTGGATTGTGTTGACATTGCCTTGCAGATATTGATTGCTGTAGCTTTATTGCTTCTTCAACTATTTTTTCTTCTGTTTGCTCCCCTAACTTCTCTAGTAGATGAGCTTCTGAATCTTTAAATGTTGATGACTGAGACTCAATTGTAAGAATCGACTTATCTGTGATAGGGTGTGCATCCATTTCCTTGGTAACTGCATTGCACTGCTCATGTACACCTTCATCGATGTCTATCTCCTCTTCTGAATCTGCTTCAGTAACCACGACCATTGTAGGAGATGCTTCAAAATCCCATTCTTCTTCAAATTCTGGCGCTTCTTCTAATTAACCTGGTTCCACGGTCTCAAACATTGCACATGAAGCTTGGAAATCCCATTCTTCTTCACTATCATCTTAGTAACTATTAGATGTTACCATATTACCTTCAATTGGTCTTCTTCTTAACCGACAATCTTTTGTGCAGTGGCCAATCTTGCCACATTTGAAGGACTCTATGTTGTGTTGTCCAAATCTAATAACTTTTCGATCATTTTCATCATGTCAAACTCCCCCTCGTTGATAACTTTGATCTTGTGATTGTTCATCTTTTTCTTTCTTCGATTTTCCATATTCTTGCCACTTCGGTCCATCTCTTTTTTTGTTACTAAATAATGCCTCTTCTTCACTTTCATTCTTCAATGTGACTCTTGCCATTTACTTTGCTAGAGTTTATTGATTCACCAATGGACTTTCGAGCTCGACCAGTGATGGTTGAGTGGACCATCCTCTAATAGCGGCCATACGCCCACTATATTCGGGTCTTAAACCTCGAGTAATAATGCGCCTCATTCTTGACTCGCTAATTTTTGACTTGCGATCAAGTTGTGAAATTTCATTGCAAATAGTCTTTACCTTGAAAAAATATTAGCTGATAGTCATTGATCCTTGTGTCACCGTTGCAAACTCGTTCTCTAGATATTGAAGTCGTGCATCGTTTATCTTCGAAAATAACGCCGCAAATGTGTCCCAGATTGTTTTTGGAATAGTAGCCTCCCGAACATACTCCAATAACTCTTTCTGAACAGTTGTCCCTAACACGAACATTGCTTTTCCAGCCTTAATCCGTCACTTTCGCAAGGCCTCTGCATTTTCTTCTCTAGGGGACGCAGTTTTCTTGCCATCAACAATCTCCCATAGATCCTGTCCTTGAAGATGTGCCTCGACGCATATTCGCCAATAATCATAATTAGAATAATTTAATTCCTCCATACTACTAATGAAGCTTCCGAAATCCACCATAACAACTGTGCTCATTGACTTCAACAATCTTTTGTATCAATCTCAATCGCTCTTCGTGTCGGTCCCTGAATGACCAAGCTGTGATACCAAATTGTTGAGTTTGACACGCTGGTGGACCTAGAAATACAATCTTTATTGATAATACTCTAATACACAAAACACTTGTACACAATCACACACTAATATACTTTACTTATCTACTCACACATATATTCAAGCACTCACACTTAGTGTCTTACTCACACAAGACCTTGAGACACATCACACTAGATAGTGCTTGATCAGTTACTTTGGACTCACTCTTCTTTCACTCAATTGTCCAATTGCTTAGTACATGCACTCATATCATATTTATGCTAGTTATAGAACTTTCTAGAATACACTCATACTTTTCCTACACTCTAGAACAATCTAGATTACTCTAGTACATATTAGAGCTTTCTAAAATATTCTAGAACCTTCCGGAACTTTCTAGATTTCTCTAGCTTTCTCCAAACTTCTTTAATGTTCCGGAACCTTCTAGGATATTCTAGAATCTTCCGGATTTCTAAAATATGCTCATACTTTTCCTACACTCTAGAACAATCTAGATTATTCTAGTACATATTAGAGCTTTCTATTCTTCTCTATACTAGTTAAAGAATTTTCTAGAATACACTCATATTTTCCCTACACTCTAGAACAATCTAGATTACTCTGGTACATATTAGAGCTTTTTGTTCTTCTCTAAAATATTTTAGAAATCCGAAAGATTCTAGAATATCCTAAAAGGTTCCAGAACATTAAAGAAGTTTGGAGAAAACTAGAGAAATTTAGAAAGTTTCGGAAGGTTTTAAAATATTTTAGAAAGCTCTAATATGTACTAGAGTAATTTAGATTGTTCTAGAGTGTAAGGAAAGTATGAGTGTATTCTGGAAAGTTATTTAACTAGTATAAATTTGATATGAGTGCATATACTAAGCAATTGGACAATTGAGTGAAAGAAGAGTGAGTCCAAAGTAAGTGGTCAAGCACTATCTAGTGTGAGGTGTCTCAAGGTCTTGTGTGAGGAAGACACAAAGTGTGAGTGCTTGAATGTAAGTGTGAGTGAATAAGTGAAGTGTATTAGTGTGTGATTGTGTACAAGTGTTTTGTGTACTAGAGTGTTATCAATAAATGTTGTATTTCTGGGTCCATCAGCGTGTCAAACTCAACAATTTGGTATCAGAGCTTGGTCGTTCGGGGACCGACACGAAGAGCGATTGAGATTGATACAAGAGATTGTTGAAGTCAACGAGCACAGTTGTTATGGCGGATTTCGGAAGCTTCATTGGTGGTATGGAGAAATTAAAATATTCTAATTATGATCATTGGTGAATATGCATCGAGGCATATCTTCAAGGATAGGATCTATAGGAGATTGTTGACAGCAAGGAAACTGCGTCACCTGGACAAGAAAATGCAGAGGCCTTGCGAAAGCGGCGGATTAAGGCTGGAAAAACGATGTTCATGTTAAGGATAGCTGTTCAGAAAGAGTTATTGGAATATATTCGGGAGGCTAATACCCCAAAAGTAGTCTGGGACACATTTGCGGCATTATTTTCGAAGACAAACGATGCACGACTTCAGTATCTAGAGAACGAGTTTGCAACGGTGACACAAGGATCAATGACTATCTGCCAATATTTCTCAAGGTAAAGACTCTTTGCAATGAAATTTCACAACTTGATCCCGAGTTAAAAATCACAGAGTCAAGAATGAGGCGCATAATTACTCGAGATTTAAGACCTGAGTATAGTGGGCTTATCAGCTGTTAGAGGATGGTCCACTCAACCATCACTGGTCGAGCTCGAAAGTCTATTGGCGAATCAAGAAACTCTAGCAAAGCAAATGGCTGGAGTCACACTGAAGAATGAAAGTGAAGAAGAGGCGTTATTCCGTAGCAAGAAAAGAGATGGACCGAAGTGGCAAGAATATGAAAATCGAAGAAAGAAGAAGATGAACAATCATAAGATGATCAAAGTTATCAACGAGGGGGAGTTCGACATAATGAAAATGATCGAAGAGCTACTAGATTTGGACGACGCAACATAGAGTGCTTCAAATGTGGCAAGATTGGTCACTACGTAAAAGATTGTCGGTCAAGAAGAAGACCAATTGAAGGTAATATGGTAACATCTAATGGTTACCAAGATGAGAGTGAAGAAGAATGGGATTTCCAAGCTTCATGTGCAATATTCGAGACTGTGGAACCAATTTACTTAGAAAAAGAGCCAGAATTTGAAGAAGAATGAGATTTTAAAGCATCTCCTACAATGTTCGTGGTTACTGAAGCAGATTCGAAAGGGGAGATAGACATCGATGAAGGCGTACATGAGCAGTGCGATGCAGTTACTAAGGAAGTGGATGCACACTCTATCACAAATAAGTCGATTCTTGCAATTGAGTCTCAATCTTCAACATTTAAAGATCTAGAAGCTCACCTACTGGAGAAGTTGTGGGAGCAAATAGAAGTAGTAGTTGAAGAATGGATAAAGTTGCAACATCCAATATTTGCAAGGCAATGTCAACACAATCCAAGGTATGTTGATGCAACCTTTGCTAAGATGGATAATATAAAGGAGCCAATAACATTTCAGGAAACAACAAAATTTAACAATTGGAGGAAGATGAAGGTGTTGCATTAAGATAAAGTCGGACTTGGCATTCGGTACTTAAGCCCAAGGATCGAGATTGTATATTCAGCCAAGGACCTGTTGTTCCATGGAAGGATAAAGTGTGTGGCAGTGTATCATCACTTCAAATAGAAAAAATCGTTACTGGAAGAGATGGAGACAAAATTTATTGTGGCAAAGGACCAGCGTGCAGAAATACTCACAAAGAGTTTCTAAAACAACGTGGCATGGTTGCATAATCTAGAAATGAGAGTTAGTGTTGAGGGGAAGTGTTGAGAGTCGTCACTAACTCTCCTCGCTCTCTAGAATCTTCTCTCTAGAATATTCTAGAAGTTTCCACATGAATCTAGAATACTCCAGAAAGATCTAGAAGATTTTGGAAAGACCTAGAGAAATCCAAAAGATTCTAGAATATCCTAGAAGGTTCCAGAACATTTTTGGTGAAAACTAGAGAAATCTAGAAAGTTCCAGAAGGTTCTAGAATATTTTAGAGAAGAATAGAAAGCTCTAATATGTACTAGATTGTTCTAGATTGTAGGAAAAGTATGAGTGTATTTTAGAAAGTTCTTTAAATAGTATAAATATGAGATGGGTGCATGTACTAATCAATTGGACAATTGTGTGGAAGAAGAGTGAGTTCAAAGTAAGTGGTCAAGCACTATCTAGTGTGAGGTGTCTCAAGATCTTGTGTGAGGAAGACACAAAGTGTGAGTGCTTGAATATATGTGTGAGTGGATAAGTGAAGTGTATTAGTGTGTGATTGTGTAAAAGTGTTTTGTATACTAGAGTGTTATCAATAAAGGTTGTATTTCTGGGTCTACCAGTGTGTCAAACTCAACACCTAGTTCTGAAATGACCTGGTTCAAATTTTGCCAACTCATTAGTAGCATTAATTAGACCAAAAATTATCTGTTCTTGATATGTATCAAGTTACCATATTTTGTTATTTGGGAATGGGGTCAATTTTTTTGAAATGGTTAAACTCAAGCACAAAACTGGTTTTTCAATCAGTCAATCCCAGTTTTTTGAAATTTGGATAATAGCTCTTGTCAAACTCATCTAGATTTGATGTCTTATTACTTGATAAACTGATGTTAAAGAGAATTCTCACTTACACTTGTTTCTTGTATCCTTTAAATTTTTGAGGGTTTTGCTTAAATTTCGCTTGAACTTGTTGACAACCCTAATGAATTGCTTCCGCTGAAGTGGCCTATTATTTTGCTCGGTTTCTTTGCAACCACAATCTCTTCTTTTAATGATTAGTTTTTGTGCATTTTTTTCCTTCATGTAGTTTATCTTTCTGCTTTTTGAATGATGTTGCACATAGTTTAATTGTTTTGCTAGGTGAATGGCTGTCTGGTTCGGCGGGGATGGGCTTTACTCCACATGTCATCACCATTGCTGTAGGAGAAGTATGCCATATCCTCTATCGATCTGTGTTAGGCTATTAGCAATTCACAAAGAAAAACCAATTAGCAATTTATAGACGGTGCACTCTATCAGTTAACTGAATTGACCCTAAACATAATGTGTTGGGTCAAAAAGATGAAAGCCATAGATGATTAATTTTCTTGACATTGACATGTTACATTTTCCATGAAAGGGATGTGGTGTAAATCTGCTTAAACAGGCACGGATGCTAGCATGTAAAGTATATAAGAGAGAGGAGTTAGACTTTATAAATTCTAAATTGAAATGTAAATTATATTTTGATGAAAATGGAATTTGAAAGAAACACAAAGGTCCGTGACATGGCCTGGGATGGTTTTGCTTGTTTTATGCTGTCGATGTTGATGACCTGAAAAGCAGTCTTCAGTAGGATAAGTCAACCTAAGATGCACTTTTGATAAGGAAGAAAATTGAAAGAGGAAACAAAAATAAGAATAATTAAAAAATTTGACATGCCACGTGTTCACATGTTTCCGTGGTGTGTTGGTTTCCAATACGTGTTGGACACGGACCCAGCGCCCAGTTTGGTGTGTCCATGGTTTCTAGCTTAGAGTGGTAATCTCTTTTTACATTTCATGATTTCTTGTAAATAGTTTATTTTCCTTGATATTGTTTATCTTTTCTTGCAGGACATCACGGCAAAAATTATGTCCTTTTCTCAACAGGGCCCAAGAGCTATATGCATTTTGTCAGCCAATGGTTTCGTCTCCACTGTAACTTTTCGTCAGCCCTCAACTTCTGGTGGCACTGTGACATATGAGGTTTAAGCACTTAATATTCGCATTATGTATTTACTTTTTTGTTGCTCAAGGACATGTTAAATGATTGTGATATCTTTGAATAACATTGCTAAACTTGACATATGGTGTCCGTCTGTACATGTACATATATATAGTGGATGCTGGGATATGTTTAAAAAAGAAACATATCATAGAAATGATCCAATTTCATGACTGATGTTTTAGGTATCCTTGAAAGCTCTCGACTCAAGATAAATGCTTGTGTTTTGAATGTGGCATTGAATCTAAGGCCTATGGTCATGCATTTGGAAAAAGGAGTAGTTCTCTTTCCTTGTTTATGTAACTAGGGTTAAAAGTGATTAGAATAAAATACCTAAGTCTTCATTTTACAGGGAATATGATGGGTAGTTGGAGGTTAAAAGTGATTTGCATCCATAAAAATAAAATGAATGTTCGTCTGTTATGTTTTTGACAATCATAATACTAAAATCCTTCCAATGCTCTATTTTGTATTAAAGTCATGTTGATTACTTATAGCAAGAAATCATAAATGGATAATTTGTATTGTTTTATTTAGTGTATGTGTATGGACCCATAAATCTAGTTTATACATGGATACATTTATGATTTATGATAGGCTGTGGGATTCACATCATTAATGGGATCTACAACAATTTTCCTATCCAAAGTTTATGCTTGTTGCATTTGGATGATTACTGCTACCTAGGATTTTAAATATTGGCCGTTGAGTATCGTATCACCCATTATATTTCGCGATTTTGGACTTTCAATATCGTTATTCATCAATACATCAGCAGATACTGTCCGATATTGACTAATACATAACTGTATTACCGATACAGATATGTTATTTAAAACCATGTCACTACTGCAGTAATGTTGTGAACCTGCTTTTTGGAGAAAAACGTTTCTAGATTTACCCAATGAAGAAGAAGAAGAAGAAGATAGCTTCTAGATCATGCCTATTCCTTTTGGTACTGTCCGATATTGACTAAGGGCTCGTTTGGCATAACCTATATAATCCATCTTTTTATCTTTTTATCTTTTTTCCATCACATCACTTCTCTACTTTTCTGCACATCTTTTCATAAAAAGACAAAAAGTGTACTTTTTTAGGACACCCCAAACCAACCCTAATACATAACTGTATTACCGATACAGATATGTTATTTAAAACCATGTCACTACTGCAGTAATGTTGTGAACCTGCTTTTTGGAGAAAAACGTTTCTAGATTTACCCAATGAAGAAGAAGAAGAAGAAGAAGAAGATAGCTTCTAGATCATGCCTATTCCTTTTGGTTGGACCGACTTTGATGGAAATTTAACAAGGGAAGGGCCTTGTTGGATATTTTAACTGTGTCAAAATGATATTAGAGCAACATAAACTAATTTTTCTTTCGATATTCCCACGTCTATATGCTTATTGTGGTCATTCTATATTTTTTTTAATTATTTTTGTGATTTTGTTTTGTCATGTTTATTACATTTAAATGAGAGAGTGTCCCAGGCTTGAAATTCTCACCTCAATGCTCACTCATGTAGTACTGGTCCTCGAGTCCTTGACCATTTTTTTGCAATTTATATCTTTGCAGGGGCGTTTTGAGATAGTGTGTCTGTCGGGCTCTTACTTGCTCTCTGACACTGGTGGTTCCCGTGGTCGAACTGGCGGTTTAAGTGTCTCGCTTGCTAGTCCCGATGGTCATGTCATTGGTGGTGGAGTAGGGGGAATGCTCATTGCTGCCAGCCCTGTTCAGGTAACATGTGTTTGCTTTTCACACACTACTGATTTATGTTCCTCATTCACAGTTCTCCTTTGTTTAAAGTGACATTTCACTTCTATTCATTAAAGAAGACAATTGCGGATTTTCTGTGGCTTCTCTACAAGTATGACATTTGACTTCCATACTAAATCTGTGAAATGACGTCATCTAGGTTGAATTTTGTAATACACCTGATCATAAACATTGAGATTTTCCCAAGTCATTTTTTTTTATCAAATTTCCCAAACCCAAGCTGTTTTTAACTTATTTTCTGCACTTGGGTTGTTTTTGAAGTCATGTTTTTAATGCATGATTTTGCATTTAAAGTTGTGTTTTTAATTCACAACTTGAAAAAAAAAAAATGAACATCACAAAAACGTGGGATGGTCCCAGGACTTCAGCCAATCGATAACTTTTACTCCTTTGAGATTTTAAATTAAAATCTTGTGTTTTTAATTCACAAGATTTTAATTTAAAGTTGTGTATTAGAAATATGACTTCAAAAATAAAGTTGGGAAATAAGTTGAAAACAGCCTTGGTTTTGAGAAATTTGATCTAGAACGACCTGGGTTTTGGCTTTTATAGTCCAAAAAGCCTAAAATAGCTTTAGCCTATTGGGCTTGGTCTTGAAAGTTGAACAAAAGGCTTTAAAACCTGCTTTTTACAGCGCTTAGTCAATAAAAAAAAAAATCTTAGCCATAACTTTTCACAATATATATATATATATTTCAAAAATAGTGTGGACTTCACATACTTTTGTACAAGTAAATTCATAAAACTAAAACATAAGTCAATCATATCGATTTTTAGGTGCTAAATTGGAAGATGATGTTACGTATTATTCCAGGTAATAGTTGGAAGCTTCCAGTGGGGTAGTTCAAAGACAAAGAACAAGGCCAGTGGAGGCATTGAAGGTTCCGGAGATTTGAACTGCCAGACAGGTGATGATCCGGTCACTCCGGCTAGTGTTCCTCCCAGTCGGAATCTCACTTCAACCTCTTCTGCCAGTGTTTGGCCCCTCTCACGACCAATGGATATGCAAAACGTGCACGTTGACATTGATTTGATGCGTGAATGACTGTTCTTATTAGTAGATAGACGAGTAGTGTGTATATACTTGTTGGTTAGCCACTTGAACCTAATTCCTTAACTGACGATTTTTCGCTAGAGGGATCAGTCACTTCATATCCCATTGCAGACATTTGGGATGTACTCTTTTTATCTTTCAAGCTTAATGGAAATTTAGTTGGAGTTTAGTTCTAAGCTCTCTATTAACTTTCTTTAAACATAGTTTGTGATTAACTAATTGATATTTTAGGTGTTATTTGTGAGTGACATAAAGATTTCAGAATATGTTGGGTATGTTTGGTTTGCATTTGGGAGATGAGTTTTAGAAAAAAATTTCTAAAAAATTGTTTGGTTTGAGTTTTTCTCAAAAAAATTTCAAAATTACTTTCTCTCTCTTACACATCAATCAATCACTTTTTCTCTTACACAGATTTACTCAAATTCTCTCAAAATATCAAATCATCTCAAACTCCTAAAAAAATAACTCTCCCAAAATATACAACTAAATAAATCAAAAAAAAATTTAAACTCTCTCTTCAAATTTTTTTTCAAAAACAACTTTCCCAAAAACAAATCAAACAAGTCCGTTGTCTTTTTTATAACTTGAGTTTGAATTTATTTTAGTCTGCCATAAATTGTACACACATTTGACATTGATTCTTCTAATAGAAGCCAATGAAACATCAAATTTGGGAATTGCTTTCCTTCCTAATGTCTTGCTTGATAAAAGTAGAAGGTTGTGATTAACCGTAGCAATTTGTCTTTGGCATGATCGAATGAGCTGGGGAAGTAAACATGAACGGCCTAGATGGGCCTGATAAAGACGGGAAGTGCATGTGCTCTCTCAATATAAGCTCAAGTTATAGCTGGAGTTTAGCCCTACTCGAGTTCCGGTAGGCTTAAGTTATAGCTTCACTTTAGCCCATATAAGTGTACACACCTAATATATATTATATACTAGCAGGAACTCGTGCGATGCACGAAAAAATAAATTATATATATTATGTGATAAATAAATTATTTAATCTTAAATTATGTCTATGCATAAAAAACGGTTAATTATAAAAATTATTGAGAATAATAGTATTACAATCACTTGATAACATAAATAATTTGTATCAAACTAAACAAAATATTAAAAGAGAAAAATTCTATAAACTCAGAAAAGTTATCATAAATTCACTTGAACTTTTAAATCAGTGGTGTATATTATTATTGTGGATCAAATTATGAATAAATATCAATTTTTAATTACACTTTATAAGTAGTTTTTAAAAAATTTTAATTCAAGTTTGTTGCCTTACTCATAAAAAGAACTTCTCAAACAAATCATTAATTGATTATGTTAACAACTCTCTATCGTTGATTTTTTCTATTAATGACACACGCATATCACATCAAAGTATAAATCCTTCTCCATAGTTTGAATAATACTTGCATAATTCCTACATCAATTTTAAAAAATTAATCAAGATAAGAATTTCGTAAGATTATAAAAATTATATAAGAAAATAGTTTTAATCCATTTTATTTATAAAAAAATGATGAAAATACAAATAAAGTCATGAATATTGAATTAAATCATATGGGCTCTAAATTGATAGTATAATCTAGCAAATCAACTAATAATAACATAGAGATATTGACAAATATGTAGTACTTCCCTATCATCTTTGTATTATATTCATTAATTTTATATATCATATAAAAGTTTTACTCGTTTCGATCTTTCAATAAAATAAGGACCAAGAAAACAAATTTGATAAGAAATTGATTCTAAACTTTATTATTGCAAAAAATAAAAATTTTAAAAAGAGAATTTAGAGATGGGATTAAGGAAATACTATAACGAATGACGACCTTATAAAATAATAATAATAATAATAATAATAAAAACATAAACAATGATCTAATGCAAACTATTTTTAATAACTAATAGAAAGAATATCAAATTATTACCTTGTATAAATATAGTGACAAAAATTAATTTTGTGAGATTTTTGTGCTGCCTTCTCCCATGCAGCTTTCATTATTTCATTATTAATACTGTTCTCATTCAGAGCCAACCAATTTCATTATTGATACTTTTATCATTCAGAGCCAATAATTTTTTTTAATCTTTATCACTGGGTAGATAATAACGAATAATAAAAACTATTAAGAGAATGTTAAGAATTTAATAGGAGATAAGAAGTTATAGATATGGGCATTTCATAAGATAAAAAATTTAAAATAAAAAAAGATAATATGTGGTAGAAGGAGAAAAAAAAAAGAGTAAATCAAAATAAATATTTAGATATATATGTTTTTGATAGATATATAGATTAACAAATCATATCTTTGTCTAAATTTTATTATTTTAATTTTTTGTAAACCAATTATTTAATCTTTATCTGTACATGTAGGCCACGAAATTAATCTTTTTAAATTATTTATCAAATTTTATATGTTTATTTATCTATAAGTCATGAAATTAATTTTTTCAAATAATTTTTAAATTTTTTATCTTTATCTATAGGTCATGAAATAAATTTTCATAAATTATTTACGAATTTTTATATGTTTATCAATAATGAAATTAATTAAAGTACAAAACGAAAGGACAAAAAAAAAAGAGTAATTTCATTTTTTTTAAATCAATTATTTATTCTTTATCTTTATTTGCAGGCTATGAAATTAATTTTTATAAATTATTTATCAACTTTTATATGTTTATTTATGAGAAAAAATTTGAAATTATCTATAAGTTATGAAATTAATTTTTTTTATTAATGGTTTAATTTTTATTTTTATCTGTAGACTATAAAATTAAATTTCAGTTTTTATATGTTTATCTATATGGAGGATTCTCATTCAAAGCCAACAAATTTCATTATTAATACTCTTCTCATTCAGATCTAATAGTTTTTTTAAAAAAAAATCTTTATCACTTGGTAGATAATAACGAATAATAAAAATTATCAAAAGAAGGTTAAGAATTTAACAGGAAATAAGAAGTTATAGATAAGGGCATTTCATAAGATAAAAAATTTAAAATAAAATATATATATTTTTTAATATGTTTATTTGTGGGAAGAAATTTTAAATTATCTATAAGTTATGAAATTATTTGTTTAATTTTTATCTTTATCTGTAGACTATAAAATTAATTTTTAGTTTTTATATATTTATCTATATGGAGGAATTTTGAAATTCAAATCTTTATCCATAAGCAATGAAATTAATTTAAATTTAAATTAATCAAACAAAGAGAAAATGAAGAAAAATAGAAAACATGAAAAGCAATCAAAGAAGGTTGCCACATAGGAAAGGGTGAGATTTAAAATTATGAGAATTTCAGCCCATACGGGGGCTCCAAACCCTAGCATTTTAATTTATCTCATCTGTAGGCATCTTGGTCGTTTCAAATGACCAACTCCAACAATACGAGTTTCAGTTTAATTTTTTTTTCAATTTTAAAAACGTGTAAAAAAATAGAGAAGTGATGTGACCTAAATAAATAAATAAATTAACTTTTATATTAAGTGCGATGTTTGTATTTATTTATTACTTATTATTTTTTGAGTTTTTAAAAGTTAAATACATTAATTTAAGATGAACATAAAAATAATTTGTTGTGTTTAAATTTGAATCACCCAAGTATATCCCAAATTATTAGAGTTAAACTCATACTCAAATTTGTTTAAACAAATTTAGAGAGTTTGGACTGAGTCAAACTCCAACTATAACAAATCTTTCCATACTTTTAGACCTAATTTAAACATATCCTCAACCAATTAATTTGTATTTGAATTTGGATAACTCCAAGCCATTAGACTTTTTCAAGCAAATTGAGATAACAATTTGGATCATATTCAACTTTCGAACGATCGCTTTGTACATGGGCCGGGCTTTTATGGATTTACTTCAGGCCGGCCCAGTTGGTAGGTTTCGGCCGATAAATAGACCTAAACACCAGTGCTCATATTAAGCCCCAACGCAAACGCAGAGTGTAGAGAAGAGAGGGAGAGGGAGAGGGAGAGGGAGAGGAGAGAGAAGATGGCGGGGGGGCATGGATTGAGGTCAAGGACGAGAGGTCTGTTCTCTCGAGGGATCCGCAAGAAGGGTACTATTGGGTCCTCAACATATTTGAGAACCTACCGCAAAGGAGACTATGTGGACGTAAAGGTGAATGGTGGTGTACACTCGGGAATGCCTCACAAGTTGTACCATGGTCGCACAGGCAAGGTCTGGAACGTAGCCAAACGCGCTATCGGTGTGGAAGTTAACAAACAGGTAAAAAAATGTGTTTTATCTTATGGGTTTTCATTAGTTCTGTAATTTTGTATCAGAATATAATTGGATGTTGTAAATCTGTTTATGCTCTGAAGGTGTCTGATGATTTGCCTGTGTTAAAATGGTGGAGTAATCATCTGGGTTTTCATTAGTTTGTGCATTTATATCCAAAAAAAAATAATAATTTTCTGTTCTAAATGGTGGATTAATCATCTGGATTTTCCTCAGTTGTGTGTTTTTATGTCAGAAAAATAAGTCTAATTTTGTGTCTGATTAAGAATGCATGTCCCCCTGTGTCGATTGATTAAGAATGTTTGGTTTTTAGGTGATGTAGTTCTGAAGATGTTTGATGAATATGGGTTTTTCGTTAGTTTTGTGCGTTTTATCAGGAAAACAAGTGTCTTTGTCATTTGATTAAGAATGGTTTGATTTTTAGGTGATACAGTTAATTGGGTATATATTTATTTGGTGTTTGATGGTTTGTTTGTGGTGAAAGGGACATCTAGATTTCCCTTAGTTTTGTGCATTTATATCAGAACAAGTGTCTAGTGTGTCATTTGATTAAAAATGTTTGGCTTTTAGTTCCTTTTCCATTTCCCTTTCCAAATCCCTCTCCAAATCCCCCAACCAAACACAGCATTAGTGTCATTTGATTAAGATGATTTTTAGGTGATATAGTTAATTGGGTATATATTTAATTGGTGTTTGATGGTTTGTTTGTGGTGAAAGGGACATCTAGATTTCCCTTAGTTTTGTGCATTTATATCAGAACAAGTGTCTAGTGTGTCATTTGATTAAAAATGTTTGGCTTTTAGTTGATATAGGTGATTGGGTATGTATGTGTCTTTGTATACGGGTAAAACTTTCATACTTTTTCCTCTCACAAATTCAAAATCCAAACATAGTTTTGTGACAGATTTCGTGAGTTTTCAATTGTTCCTTCCCTGTTGGCCTTCAATTTTTATGACAGGACCCGTATTATTATAATATTTTTGTAACTGATGAAATGGAACATAATCAAAGTTGTGGTGCATTTACATAAATACAGGTGGGTAAGAGGAGGATTATTAAAAAGAGGATCCATGTGGGCATTCAACATGTGCAGCCATCAAGGTGCACTGAGGACTTTAACATGAGGATGATGAAAAATGAGCAACTGAAGTTGGAGGCCAAGGCTAGAGGTCTTGTTATCAGCACAAAAAGGCAACCAGAGTGCCCTAAATCTGGTTTCATGGTGGAAAGTCCCATCTTGGAGACTGTCAGTTCTATACCCTATGGCATCGTGAATGATCTCTAGGGTTATTAAATTTGTTTGAATTAAATTTTGTTTAGATTCTTTGCCCACCAATTTTTACAAGGACCATTAATTTGACAACAATTTTTGCATAATATTTTATTTTATTCTGTTACAAGTTCTAATCAAATTTTTTTGTTTGATTAAGGACTACACTTATTCTTGTATCTTTTTTTTTATCTAGCAGACTCTGGTTGATTAAAGAAGGCATACTTTGCTGCTTGATTTCAGATATATTTTTTAAAAAATGTGATGCAATAAGTTTCTTGGCCCTATGTTTATTCAGGGCATTCACTCTGACTTTAAACCTGATTATGAAAATAAATAAATAACATATGCCCATAATTTGGTTACAATTTTTTATGCTCATAGAATTTTGATTAATTTGCCAAATTGCTACTAGATGCTAGGATATTTGGAGCTTATAATAATTTTTTTTTTTTTTAAATGTGATGCAATTCCACTGGAAAGAAGCATCTGCCAACAGCATACCAAACATTACCATGCTTAAGTTTCCTTTGCTACTTTTGGTTGGCAATATCAATTCATGTCTTATTTGATTAATAATTTGGCAATTCCACATCACTTTTTATAGCTAAGTCTTTTGCATATATTAAGGTATCTACAATCTTTATTCAAATCTTGACTCAAATTTAAATTTGAGTAAAAAAAAATTCAAAACTCATTTTCCAATTTATAAATGACGGAAAACTTATTGCTTGCTTTGGAGCAATGCTTCATGGTAATTACCAAATCATACCTCCTTGTATATTGGCCAAAGGAAAATGTTTGAGGGCCACAATTTTTGTAGCTCAAATGGCTCAAAATTGTCAAAACGACGTCGTTTTGACAATTTTGAAGTTGTTTTGTACTCAAAATGACGTCGTTTTAGCAATTTCGAGCCATTTGAGCTACAAAAATTATGGCCCTCAATCATTGCTGTTGGCCAAAATATCAATAAGAAAGGTTAGAAATTTACAATTTAAATTTCACAATTTATCTATAATGACATAGTAAGGAAGTTGAGTTTTACATTATCGAGTTTGTAATAATTCAAAAATTAATACATGGCATATCATGTCATTGTGGATCCAATTATGAGACTTAAATTATATCTCAAGGCTTTTTCTAATTCTGATATACAAAAATTATGAATAATCTTATCCCTTAAATCAATTTTTATCAGGTTAGAGTACAACCTGTAATTGTTTTAGGAGCACCCAATAATTTCCCCAACAGGGTCCTGACTATCTGAAATTCTCTGTTTAAAAAGATTGAAACTGGATAAACATCAAAAAAAAAATATTTTCAAAAACTAAATTTAAAAATTAAGCCAAACAGTGCTAATTTGAGTAAAAGTGTACCACTTATGCATTCCATAAAACTTGAGTAAGGGAAAAGGCACCACATAATCCCACATATATTAATTGATATACTAATTAGTATTTTAATAGATAGTGTGATATAATTTTAAAAGTTTTGAATTTTTATAATTTGTATAATAGTGGAGTCATAATTTTAAAGTAATAATATCATAATAATATATATATTGATATACCAATTACTATATATAACACTACTAATTACAAAATTTAGTAACAACATGAAACAAGAGGGGAAGCATTAAATTTTACAAGTATAAACCTATTTACCAAGCCAAACTCTTTGCCAAAGGAAGAAGAAGGAAAAAAGTCCTTTCCAATTCTTGTATTACTTGATAGTGCAAATCTTTATTACCACCACAGACTCAATCACGAACAAGAAGTATCAAAAGTCCTTTCCAATTCTTGTATTACTGGATGATGCCATCACCAACGATCTAATTAAGACTGTGCATAAAATCGCCAAAATCGCACCGAGTCACACTGAACTGAATTGCACATTTTTTTGCTTTGGCGGGCGGGTTGAGCGGGGGGCAGTTTATGAAAGCCAACCTGACAGTTCAACCGAATTGACCCAACCAGCCATTGACTTCCTTTTTCCTTCCGGGTAATATATATATATATATATATATATTCAGATTCAATTCCAACCATTGGATTAAATTTATCAAAGTAAAAGAAAGTCTATAATACATTTTGTTCACAAAATGTACGGTTCATAGAAAATCAATGGTTAAGATTGAGTCACATCATTAAAAGTGACCTGATAAACATGTCACTTTTTATAGTTATGAGCCAAAATCATATTTCTTCATAACTACAATCAAATTAATCATAACTTAATCATAATCACATTTCATAACCAACACCATTTTGGTCGTTACTAATATGACAAATTTCATAAACACATCTCATAACCAACACCATTTTGTTCATAACTAATATCGCATATTTTATTACCATAATCACATATGTCATAACCAATATCACATGTCTCCTAAGTACTATCCACATGGATTATAACTATATCTCATAACCAATCCCTTTGAGTCATAACTAACATCACATATCTCATAACCAATACATTTTTCTCATAAACCAACATCACATATCTTATAACTACTAGCCACATGTCTCATAACTAACACCTTTTTGCTCATAATCACACCACTTTGATCATAATCAATATCCCATATCTCATAACCACTAGCACATATAGCATAACCAAACACCATTTGACACCACTTTACTCACAACCAAAATCACATATCTTATAATCACTAATCAAATATCTCATAACTATTACCCACATATCTCATAACCAACATCACATGTATCATAACTACTAATCATATATCTCATAACTACACCACTTTGATTATAACCAACATTACATATCTCATAACCACTAATCTTTTAACACCATTTACATCTGCTCATAACCAAAATCACATATCTTAATCACTAATCATATCTCATAACTTTACCCACATATGTCATAATACATCTCATAACAACACCCTTTGCCTCATAACCAACATCACATATATCATAACTACTAGTCAATTATCTATAACCACTACTCACATATAGGGGTGTAAATTTGGTCCACGAGCTCGCGACACACCCAAGTCCGCTCCAGCCTCGCGGCCTGGGCCTAACCAAGCTCGAGCCTAAGCCAACCTAAGACCTCGGCTACGTGTTCTAAGAGCCGTCTTGGCCCTGGTGTTATGGAGTGTGACCCATCCCGTGAGCTGGACTCGAAATTTTTTTCCTCATCTGGCCAGACCCGACCCCAATGGCTCTGCCCCCTGTCAGTGCAACGGCAAAAATTTAAAACAAAAAAAATTGAAACAGTCATATAACCGTTAATTCCACCAATAGCCAATTTTATTTATTTATATTTATATATAAAATAACCCTCTTTCCCAAGTCTATAAAATACCACCTCTCTCTCATTTTATTTCTCACAAACAAATCTGCTCTCAAACTCTCACTCTCTCTGAACTCTCAACTCTCTCAATTAATTTTGAAATGTCATCCCTAAGTGACAATTGCAATTGATCACCTATCTCTATTTTAAATTTATTTTTAGCCATAGTATCTTCATTAAATATAATAAAAATAGTAATATACAAACGATATACTTTTTAAAATATCTATATACACTTATAGATATATATATTAATAATTTAACTAAATTTTAATAAAAAATATGTTGAAAAAAATTATCTATGAAGTGATTTTATTTTGTTATACTAATAATTTTTCTCCTAAATTTTTTCCCCAACTTTTCTTCATTTTTTTCTCTACTCAATTTTCTTTCTCATGATTTGTCGTCGTTGTGTCTGAGCTCTCTCTATTCCTTAATCAGACTTCTCTATTTCGCTCAAATTATCGAACGTCCATCGTTGATAGTTCTTCCTCACTAGATTCTTCTTCTCTCTACTCCTGTGTCTCTGCAATAGATCTTTGAACTCGTCACTACTCTTTCTGTCTATTTCAACACTATTCATTATGGTGATATTTCTTTATCTAGTAAATGCATCTATCTCGAAACTATAGCTCTTTCATATTAATATGTCATACATATACAAACCTTTGCCCGTAGTTATGATTTGAAAGGTTTTGTTATTATCAATTTGTACATGTGTTATAGAACTGTTAAAAAATGAATATTACACATTTTGTTGTATTGTTCTACTATCTCAGTTTTCTTCATTCATCAAGTATCTCTCTCATTCTTTACTATCACTGTAGATATCTCTGATGTTCCTTATAGGAAACAACATCGCTTTTGACGTCATTTTCACAAGCAAGAAGCCTGTTTAGTCTCTCTTTCCCATATTCCCTTTTCCCTCGCTCTACTAGTTAATCTTCTCTGACTCTCATTTTCTGTTCCATGGCTTTAAGTCGTTGATTAAATTATTTAATGATTGTCATTATATTTTGTTTTCTCTGTATCATGATAGATCCCGATTGGTGATTCTAGGATTTTTAGTGATTTGTTAGTCATTTTATGATAATTGTTATGAAACTTTGTTGCTTGATTACGATATTTGTGGTTTATAAAAAAATTGAATATTTTTGCTACATCAATTAATTGTGTTATTACGCATTTTGTGATTGATGTTATGAATTTTTATAAGTTGATTATAACATTTGTGATTTGTGAAAATTTTGATTTATTTAATTATGTCAATTAGTGGTGCAGTTACACATTTTGTAGTTGATATAATTAAATTTTGTGAGTTGGTTATGACATTTGTGGTTTTTAAAATTTTTAGATGTTTTTGTTACACCAATTAGTGGATAGTTATATAATTTTTGGTTAATATTACAAAATTTTGGGCATTAGTTACATCATTTGTGATTTTCTATAATTTTAAACAATTTTGTTACACCAATTAGTGATGCCATTATGTATTTTGTATTTTATATTACAAAACTTTGTGACTTGATTATAATATTTGTGGTTTCTAAATTTTTTAATATTTTTATTACGCCAATTAATGGTGTGATTATATATTTTGTAATTGATGAGTAAAATATTTTTTTTTATTAATTTTACTTAATAAAAATAGATGAAGAATTTATATTAAAAATAATCAAAAAATTAAGTATAAATTAATAAAATTATAAATTAATAATTTATTTTATTATAAAACTCTACTCAGAAATGTTTTAATTTTTTTTAAAATGATTATTACATACGCCTTAAATTTTTTATTTTTTTTCTAAAAATGTAAAACAAACATCCAAATTTTGTCGAACTCACAATTATTGCTTTTGACAGATCCTAGACCCTTTCTCCAGCCCAAACGTTTTCAGAAATCACTCTCTCTCTCTCTCTCTCTCTCTCGGTCGTCGCCGCTGCCCATTGCCACCGCCGAGACCTGTTTTGCTTTCGCCGCCGCATCCTCCGCCACGGAGAAAAGCTCCCAAAGCTGTTGACGAAGATCTGTACAGTATCTCGCCGGAGCTCCTCTGCGCCAAGCACTGAAGAGTGAGTTTATTCCTCTGCCCTTTTCTTTTCCTCCTCGTTTTAGTAAGCTATATGCCTCAATCTCTCTCTCTCTCCCTCTCTCTCTGGAACTTGTTTCTCTCCCATTCTCCATCTCCATTCTATGAAACCCTAGACCGAAATCCCGTTCTTTGAAACTGCCCTTTCACCTTTGTGAACTCACTGGGTTGGTTTATAAAATTAGGAAAATATGATTTGAATAGGTTTAGGTTTTTTATGTTTGTTAGTTGTTTTGATTCCGTATATATATATATATACTTGAAATTTGGCTTGAGTGTGTGAAATCTGATGTGTTGGTAGTTGAATTTTGTTCTCATGCAACTGATATGAGAATGTAATTTTCTATTTGTTTATTGAAATCTGTTTATTTTCTAACAGTTAGTCTTGTGGTGGCTTGATTTTCCTATGAGAAAGAAAATTAAAGTGGTTTGGGATGTATTAGCTTTAGCAATTTTATGGGAATTGTGGAAACTGAGAAACGAATGGATATTTTGATGTTATTGTATAAACCCATTAAGGTTTTATAGTTCACAAGCTCACAGACAAACAATCGGATATTGTAAGTTCATCAACATGCATTCAGAGAAGTTGATGCAATTTGATTTGGAATGGTTAATAGTTGTTCTTGTAGAGCCAACTTATTTCATGGAACTAATTTATTTATTTAAAAATCCAAGAAGACAGAAGAATTGTTATATATAAGATACCTTCACCAATTTTCTGGGAACTGTGGAAAGTGAGAAACGAATGTTTGTGTAATGATGGTCATCTAGATTGGATCAAGGTTTAGGAAAGAATTATTCAAATGTGCCTATATGATTTAAATCCAATAAACATTTGAAAATCTTTTCTGTGAATGACTTTATGTTCAATTATCAAAGTATTAATGATTGTGCACCTCATTAAATGTATATATCATGTATACCTTACTTTTAAACCATTAGATATTTATTATTTATTTTTTGATAAATAAAACCATTAGATATTTATAAATTAATCTGCACCGTAATTTAATTAAAAAAATTGAATAGCTTCTCAACCGGTTACTTTTTTTTTCTTTGCCTTTTACTGATTGTGCCTCCCCCCTCCCCACAAAGGCTCACGTTGTTTTGCCAAAACCCTCATGTTATTTGGTTCGAAACCCTCCCGTTTTCAGACACAACTCCGGTGATCTTGTCTGCCCTAGAAGACCATCCCTCAAAGTGCATCTTTTTTGCTGATTGTTCCATATCTATTTTCTGCATGTAAAAACTTTACCTGAAGGTATGAATCTCTCAGTATGTCTGTCTTTGCAACTCGTTTCTCTTGCCTTTCTTCAACCGTATTCTATGAAACCCTAGACCAAAATCCCCTTTTGTTAACCCTATTTCCTTTCTCGATTCTTGTTTCTTCTAAATTTAGGAAAATATGACATGAATAGCTTTTGTTTTTCATGTTTGTTTGATTTGGTAGTTGTTTTGATTCCATATGTATGGATATATACTTCAAATTTGGCTTGAGTTTGTGAAATATGATGTGTGGTTAATTGAATTTTGTACTCATATAACTGATGTGAGACTGCAATTTCTTATTTATTTGTTAAAAGCTGTTCATGTTTATAATTTTTCGTTTCTTGTTATGTTATACTTCTAATATTGGTGCTTTTGGGTTATGGTTGAATATAATTTTCCCCTTATGGATTAATATTTGCATATTTTACCTCTGCATTTGAGGATTTTTATTTGATTGATATACAATTCTTCTCATGATTGGAAGCTGTTGGTGCATTATCTATGCACATTTTATTTTAATATTAATTTTATATTTGTTTGGAATCCCATCAAATTGAGTAGGGGTATGCTTAACATTCAACTCAATGTAATACATAATGAATGGAAAAACCAATGACTTTCTATATAAATTTAGAAAAAAATATTCTTTATTATACCAACATGCGCAATACATCCAATGTATAATATTAAAAAATCCAATGGCTTTCTGTTGTCCCAAATGAAGAGTAAGAGATGAATTTATAGAATAGTGATAAAATGTATATCACATTATCGGAGAAGAAAAAATTGAATACATAACAACAAAAAACAGTTTCAGAATATATTTTGCAAAATATTAGAATTTAACAATTTTATTAGCTGTCATTATTAGCATCATCAATGATCTTCATAATAAGATTTTGAAATTTTATAAGAATAGGATTTCTGTGATGCTCAAATCAAAACATCCGATTTCCAAAAGGGCTCTATGACGATCAGAAAATCCAATAACAACAATCACATAGTCAGCCTAATTAAAAGCAACTCATCTTCCTCTTTGACATAGAAAATTACTAGGAATGAAACTAAGTTATGCTTTTTAAGTAAACAACAATTCTACATAACTAGAAAAAATGCTTAGAAAAATGTATAGAATTCTAAATGGGTGGATCAGATTGATATAGGGTGTGGTTCACATCACATCAAGTTAAATCTATACCAAACATTCAAATTCTAGAAACTTTTCTACGTACAAATAATTTATGTTAAGCAAGAAATATAACCAAAGCCATAATTGCTGTCATTTATAATTAATCACTTTATGATGTATAACTTCATGTAAATATGACAAATGGATTGATGTTGGCTCAAATCATTTGGAAAATACACTCCCACATTTTTATTTTATTTTAAATTTTTTTGGAAAATAATAAACTAGCACAAAAGAAGAATAAAATTATGTGAATGTGTTTTGCTTTCTATGACGTTGAAACCATCATATTTCCTTAATGTTATGTTTGAATCATGGATTTAGTTAGGGATTTGGAAAGGGAAAGAAAAAAGGTGTGTCGAATGTAATTATAGTTCATTGACATTTCACCCACATTTTCCCATTTCCTTTTCAAATCTCTGCTCATATTTATGATCCAAACACATCATAAAGGTTCTATCAATTGTAGCAAAAAATCCAATAACAATAATCGAAATCCAGTAGTCCAATAGTTCAATAGACCAGATACAAAGTTTTCAAAAAATAATCCAATAGTCCATCCATTTAGAAGCTACTCAGCTTCACCTTTGACACAGTAAACTACTAGGAAATTGACCAAGTTATGATCTATTAAATAATCACATAGTTCAATCAATCAAATAATTTTTTTTTATTTTTGTATATATTTTTATTTAATTTTTTGTTGAAGTGGTCAAACGGTTGGTTGTGGTATATTTGTTTAAGTGTTTATTTATGTAATGGTTATTGATACTTTGAACAAATGTAGTAGGCTTTCATCTCTGTTATTGCTTATGTAGTTTGTTAATGTCCAAAGATGAGCAAAATAATATTTTTCGTACATAGATTCTTTCTTTTCTCCCCATAATCATTAATTTCCTTAAGTATTGTCTTCTTTACTAACTCTGTTTTGATGTTTTGTTTTTGTTTGTCATAGGTTCTCAATTTCTCCATCTAAACGTAGAAGTAAAGCTATACCTCCTCCATCCCTTCCTCCCTAGCGGTTGTATTAGCAGGTGTGCTTTTAATTTATTTGCTTTTAATTAATAGCAGGTCACTGGCGGGTGTGCATTTTTTTAATTTGTTTATTTTAATTGATAGTAGGATATTTGCGGGTGTACTGCATTTTTTTAAAAACTTTATTTAATTAATAGTAGGGCACTAGCAGGTGTGCTATTTTATTTATTTGTTTCATTTTAATTGATAGTAGGGTACTTGCTTCTGTGTTTTTGAATTTATTTGATTGGAATTGATAGCAGGGCACTAGCGAGTGTGCTTTTTATTTATTTGTTTATTTTAATTGATAGTAGGATACTTGATAGTAAGGAACTTGAGTTTTACATTATTGAGTTTGTAATAATTCAAAAATTAATACATAGCATATCATGTCATTGTGGATCCAATTATGAGACTTAAATTATATCTCAAGGCTTTTTCTAATTCTGATATACAAAAATTATGAATAATCTTTTTGCTTAACTCATTTTTTATCAAGTTAGAGTACAACCTATAATTGTTTTAGGAGCACCCAATAATTTCCCCCAATAGGGTCCTGACATTTCCTTTTCAAATCTCTGCTCATATTTATGATCCAAACACATCATAAAGGTTCTATCAATTGTAGCAAAAAATCCAATAACAATAATCGAAATCCAGTAGTCCAATAGTTCAATAGACCAGATACAAAGTTTTCAAAAAATAATCCAATAGTCCATCCATTTAGAAGCTACTCAGCTTCACCTTTGACACAGTAAACTACTAGGAAATTGACCAAGTTATGATCTATTAAATAATCACATAGTTCAATCAATCAAATAATTTTTTTTTATTTTTGTATATATTTTTATTTAATTTTTTGTTGAAGTGGTCAAACGGTTGGTTGTGGTACATTTGTTTAAGTGTTTATTTATGTAATGGTTATTGATACTTTGAACAAATGTAGTAGACTTTCATCTTTGTTATTGCTTATGCAGTTTGTTAATGTTCAAAGATGTGCAAAATAATATTTTTCGTACATAGATTCTTTCTTTTCTCCCCATAATCATTAATTTCCTTAAGTATTGTCTTCTTTACTAACTCTGTTTTGATGTTTTGTTTTTGTTTGTCATAGGTTCTCAATTTCTCCATCTGAATGTAGAAGTAAAGCTATATCTCCTCCATCCCTTCCTCCCTAGCGGTTGTATTAGCAGGTGTGCTTTTAATTTATTTGCTTTTAATTAATAGCAGGTCATTGGCGGGTGTGCATTTTTTTTATTTGTTTATTTTAATTGATAGTAGGATATTTGCGGGTGTATCGCCTTTTTTTAAAAACTTTATTTAATTAATAGTAGGGCACTGGTGGGTGTGCTATTTTATTTATTTGTTTCATTTTAATTGATAGTAGGGTACTTGCTTCTGTGTTTTTGAATTTATTTGATTGGAATTGATAGCAGGGCACTAGCGAGTGTGCTTTTTATTTATTTGTTTATTTTAATTGATAGTAGGATACTTGATAGTAAGGAACTTGAGTTTTACATTATCGAGTTTGTAATAATTCGAAAATTAATACATAGCATATCATGTCATTGTGGATCCAATTATGAGACTTATTATATCTCAAGGCTTTTTCTAATTCTGATATACAAAAATTATGAATAATCTTATTGCTTTATCAAGTTAGAGTACAACCTATAATTGTTTTAGGAGCACCCAATAATTTCCCCCAATAGGGTCCTGACGTTTAAAAAGATTGAAACTGGATAAACATCAAAAAAATATTTTCAAAAAATAAATTTAAAAATTAAGCTAAACAGTGCTAATTTGAGTAAAATAGTGTTTGGGTTTAAGTATTTCATATCAAATGAACTTTTTTTGAATTTAGTCATGATTGAAATATTTTCAAAAAATAAATTTAAAAATTACGCCAAACAGTGCTAATTTGAGTAAAATAGTGTTTGGGTTTAAGTATTTCATAATGAACATTTTATGAATGTTGTCATGGTTGAAGATGGCCTTATTTATGACAGTTTCGGCAAATGGGTAAAAAATTACTTTTTGACTTTTAATCTATTTTAGGTTGTATTACCTCTCTATTTTTTTTATTTTTTAGAAGAAAAAAAAAAATCAAAAAATCAATTTTTAACATAATTCCCAAAATAACACCAATTCTCATTAGAGTAGCATGGCAAATCAGTTCACGCAAAGAAAGTGTACCACTCATTTTATTTTATTTTTGATAAAAAAAGTGTACCACTTATGCATTCCATAAAACTTGAGTAAGGGAAAAGGCCAAATAATCCAATATATATTAATTGGTATACTAATTAGTATATTAACAGATAATATGACATAATTTTAGATGTTTTGAATTTTTAAAATTTGTATAATGGGTGAAGTCATAATTTTAAAGTAATAATATCATAATATATATTGGTACAATAATTGATATACCAATTGGCACATGTAACACCACCGATTACAAAATTTAGTAGCAACATGAAACAAGAGGGGAAGTATTAAATTTTACAAGTATAAACCTATTTACCACGCCAAATTCTTTGCCAAAGGAAGAAGAAGAAAAAAAGTCCTTTCCAATTCTTGTGTTACTTGATAGTGCAAATCTCTACACCACCACAAACCCAATCATGAACAACAAATATCAAAAGTCCTTTCCAATTCTTGTATTACTGGATGATGCCATAACGATCTAATTAGGGCCGTGCATAAAACAGCCAAAACCACACCGAGTAATTGTTACTTTCATAACCTTGATGTTTTTGTAATGGTTATTTGATTAATTGATTTTCACACACATATATAAAGTCATTTTATATGTTATATAGTTGAAGTGAAAGATTTTCAAGTGCTTGAATTGAAAGATTTTCACAAATAATTATAAAAAATCAGCGATGTTGTACTGTATCCTACTTTTTTAAAGTTTTGTCCTGCCAGCATACCCATGACATTTTTTAAAAAAAATTTCTTGCAGTTTGAGGAAATGGCTGCTGCTTGGGAAATTACAGCAACGGAATTCTTGCAAGTATGCTTTCTTTGTGATCTTTGTCGCTCTTATGTATTTTTTTTTTGCTACCCTGCATTAGGGGTGCTTGGCATCTGATTTTAGTAGCTGAACCTGAGATGCATTTTGTTTTCATAATTGTAGGGTTCTCATAGACAAAATCTATTTTTGCCAAGAAATTCGCTCAGGCAGAGAAATCATTTACTTTGGGGCACACTTCGGCATCGAATTCCATCACCGAGAATATCTACTAAACGTACTGCATTTAGGCCTTCATGTCCAACAAAGGTCAGAGCTGTGGTTTCAGGGGATGTGAGTAGTGCAGTTGATGAAGAATCAGGCATGCTTCAAAAACCTGCTGAAAGGGTTTTACATTTTTTCCGCTCACCATTGATTCAAGAGAGTGCAACGGCAGAACTTCTGAAGTCAATTCAGATGAAAATTTCAAATCAAGTAATTGGTTTGAAAACTGAGCAGTGTTTCAATATTGGGCTTGATTCTGGTCTTTCAAGTGAAAAAAACTGTGTTCTTAAATGGCTTCTAGGAGAAACCTATGAGCCAGATAATTTGGGGACTGAGAGCTTTTTTCATAGGGAAAAGAATGCAGGGTCAAACATGGTGATAATTGAAGTTGGGCCTCGTTTGTCATTTACAACTGCATGGTCTGCTAATGCTGTATCAATCTGCCGAGCCTGTGGATTGACAGAGGTAACTAGAATAGAAAGATCAAGGAGGTACTTGCTGTACATTAAGGCTGGAAGCAGTTCATTGCCAGATCATCAAATCAATGAGTTTGCTGCGATGGTGCATGATCGGATGACTGAGTGTGTTTATACCCATAAGCTCACATCCTTTGCTACTAGTGCAGTCCCCGAGGATGTTCAATATGTACCAGTCATGGAGAGGGGCCGGATTGCATTGGAAGAAATAAATGAGAAAATGGGTTTAGCCTTTGATGAACAAGATTTGGAGTATTACACTCAGCTTTTCAGAGATGACATCAAGCGGAACCCTACAACAGTTGAGCTCTTTGATATTGCACAGTCTAACAGTGAACACAGCAGGCACTGGTTTTTTACTGGGAAGATAATTATAGATGGTCAACCCATGACTAGGACTCTGATGCAAATTGTCAAGAGCACTTTGCAGACAAATCCAAATAATTCTGTCATTGGATTCAAGGATAACTCAAGTGCAATCAAAGGATTTATGGTGAAACAGTTGCGACCAGTTCAACCTGGCTTGACCTGTCCGTTAAATGCAAGTGCTTGGGATCTTGATATCTTATTTACGGCGGAGACCCACAATTTCCCATGTGCAGTGGCACCTTACCCTGGTGCAGAGACAGGTGCGGGAGGTCGAATCAGGGATACTCATGCGACTGGAAGGGGGTCCTTTGTTGTTGCATCTACGGCTGGTTATTGTGTTGGGAATCTTAACATAGAAGGGTCTTATGCTCCTTGGGAAGATCCATCATTCACATACCCGCCAAACTTGGCTTCCCCTTTGCAGATTCTCATAGATGCTAGCAATGGTGCATCTGACTATGGGAACAAATTTGGGGAGCCCTTGATTCAGGGCTACACAAGAACTTTTGGAATGAGACTTCCAAGCGGGGAAAGGCGGGAATGGTTAAAGCCGATAATGTTCAGTGGAGGAATCGGGATGATTGATCACATCCACATATCAAAAGGAGAGCCTGACATTGGAATGTTAGTTGTTAAGATTGGAGGCCCAGCATATCGTATAGGAATGGGAGGTGGTGCTGCATCCAGCATGGTTAGCGGTCAGAATGATGCCGAGCTTGATTTTAATGCCGTACAGCGTGGGGATGCAGAGATGGCACAGAAATTGTATCGTGTTGTTCGTGCCTGTATTGAAATGGGGGAGAAGAATCCAATCATCAGCATTCATGATCAGGGTGCTGGTGGCAACTGTAATGTTGTTAAGGAAATAATATACCCAAAGGGTGCTGAGATTGATATCCGGGCAATTGTAGTTGGTGACCACACCATGTCTGTTTTGGAGATATGGGGTGCAGAATACCAAGAGCAGGATGCGATATTGGTGAAGCCTGAAAGCCGCAGCCTTTTACAGTCAATTTGTGAGAGAGAAAGAGTCTCTATGGCTGTCATTGGGACAATTAGTGGTGAGGGACGTGCTGTTTTAGTTGACAGCAAAGCTATTGAGAAGTGCCAGTCAAGTGGACTCCCTCCACCACCACCTGCAGTAGATCTTGAGCTTGAGAAAGTTCTCGGACACATGCCTCAAAAAACTTTTGAATTCAATCGTGTTGTTCATGTGCGAGAGCCACTTGACATTGCTCCTGGGGTAAAAGTGATGGATGCACTAAAGAGGGTGTTGAGACTTCCTTCTGTCTGTTCAAAACGCTTCTTAACAACTAAAGTTGATAGGTGTGTGACAGGCCTCGTGGCACAGCAACAAACTGTGGGTCCTTTGCAAATACCTCTTTCTGATGTTGCTGTTATCGCACAAACTTACAGCGACTTCACTGGAGGTGCATGTGCAATTGGAGAGCAGCCAATCAAGGGGCTTTTGGATCCAAAAGCAATGGCACGACTGGCTGTTGGAGAAGCACTCACAAATCTTGTTTGGGCAAAAGTTACTTCACTTTCTGATGTTAAAGCGAGTGGGAATTGGATGTATGCTGCGAAACTTGATGGGGAAGGAGCAGCCATGTATGATGCTGCCACGACTCTCTCGGAAACCATGATTGAACTTGGAATCGCTATTGATGGAGGAAAGGATAGTCTATCCATGGCAGCCCATTCATCGGAGGAGGTAGTCAAGGCTCCAGGAAATCTTGTAATCAGTGCCTATGTTACTTGCCCTGATATAACCAAAACAGTGACACCGGATTTGAAGCTTGGAGATGATGGGGCACTTCTTCTAATTGATTTGGCAAAAGGAAAGCGGCGTCTAGGTGGGTCTGCTCTGGCTCAAGTTTTTGACCAAGTTGGACATGAATGTCCTGATCTTGATGATGTTTCTTACCTTAAAAGGGTTTTTGAGGGGGTTCAAGATCTTCTTTCCGATGAGCTGATCTCTGCGGGTCATGATATCAGTGATGGCGGGCTCGTTGTCAACATTCTTGAGATGGCATTCGCTGGAAATTGTGGCATTCGATTGGACTTGACTTCAGCAGAGAACACACTCTTCCAAATGCTTTTTGCCGAAGAGCTTGGTCTTGTTCTTGAGGTTAGTAAGAAGAACTTGGATAAGATAATTGGAAAACTAGGCAGTGCTGGCATTTCTGCTGAAATCATTGGACAAGTAACCACTGAACCTGTGATAGAATTGAAGGTAAATGGGATAACTCATTTGAATGAGAAAACTTCCCACCTTAGGGACATGTGGGAAGAAACCAGTTTTCATTTGGAAAAGTTCCAAAGGCTAGCATCGTGTGTTGAATTAGAAAAGGAAGGGTTGAAGAGTAGGCATACACCTTTGTGGGCATTATCGTTCACTCCAATTTTCACAGATGAGAAATACATGGCTGCTATTTCGAAACCAAAAGTAGCCGTGATTAGAGAGGAGGGAAGCAATGGGGACAGGGAAATGTCTGCCGCATTTTATGCTGCAGGTTTTGAACCGTGGGATGTCACGATGTCAGATCTTCTTAACAGAGCCATATCTCTGCACGAGTTTCGTGGGATTGTGTTTGTGGGAGGTTTTAGCTATGCCGATGTGCTTGATTCTGCAAAGGGTTGGTCTGCTTCTATACGATTCAATCAACCTCTTCTAAAGCAATTTCAGGAATTTTATGAGCGACCTGACACTTTTAGTCTTGGGGTTTGCAATGGGTGCCAGCTCATGGCTCTGTTGGGTTGGGTTCCAGGCCCAGAGGTTGGAGGTGTTTTTGGAATCGGTGGTGACCCATCACAACCAAGATTCGTACACAATGAGTCAGGACGGTTTGAATGCCGCTTCACAAGTGTGACAATAAAAGACTCACCGGCTATAATGTTCAAAGGAATGGAGGGTAGTACACTAGGTGTATGGGCTGCACATGGTGAGGGACGAGCATATTTCCCTGATGATGGTGTTTTGGACCGTGTTCTTGACTCAAACCTGGCACCTGTGAGATATTGTGATGATGATGGGAAACCGACTGAAGCCTATCCTTTCAATCTGAACGGTTCTCCTCTGGGCGTGGCAGCAATTTGTTCTCCTGATGGGAGGCATCTGGCGATGATGCCTCATCCGGAACGTTGCTTTCTCATGTGGCAGTTTCCATGGTATCCGAAACACTGGAATGTGGACAAGAAAGGCCCAAGCCCATGGTTGCAGATGTTCCAGAATGCCAGAAAGTGGTGCGATTGATGTGGGTTTTTGGTTCTTTCACCATCAACATTGTGATGAAGAAGAGTTGTGATCAATCATGTATCGGTATTGTAAGGTATGGTTTTTTTATATTGCTATTGAGAAGGCTTTTCATAAAGTTTTTGTAGTCCAGGAAGTGGATTCGGTTATGGAATTCTAAATTACTTTTCACACCGAGTCCACTATCTCAATTTATTTGCTGAAATTATAGAAGGAATTTGTATGGAAGAAAGAGGTGACACAAATTTTTGAGAAATATTTGACCTGTTTTTTTGTTTCGTTTTTGGGTGAGAAATGTTTTGTTACCTTAATGGATAATTTGCTGCAATGCCATATGTCAATTTGAGCTGTCTCACACTATGATTACGTAACTTGGGGTCTATGTGAGAACCCGAATATAAAAATGAAATAGATAATTAAATAATAATTTTATAAACCCCAAATATTTTATTGTGAATCTTTAAATGCAAATTAAATATTACTAGAGGGATTTTAATTAATTTTACACTTAAAATAAATTATGGTGAAAGTCTTTCATTTATATTTTGATCTAATAATAGTTGTATTTTATTTAAATTAAGAGAGACTTGTTATATAATTGATAAAAAAAAACCCCGAAGTTCTGTTATTCATTTCATAGCAGCTGTGAGAGTGAGGGAGAAAGAGAGAGCAAGAGATAGAAAAGAGAGGGGGAGAGTAAGAAACTTCCAGCACCTTTGTGGCTCAACAACTCTAAGGTAACAATCAATCTATTCTTGTTCTATTATAGTATGTTTTTTACATAGTTATGGTGCATGTGGGTGTTGTGAGTTGTTGGAAGAAAAAGGAATAGATTGGCTGATTGGGATAGTATTTTGTGTATAAAATTATCATGCAAAATTTTAAAGAGAATTAAGGAGCTAGAGTCGTTGGACAAGAATTTTGCACAAAATCAAGAAATCATGTCAAACGGATGAATTTTGAATGGAAAATTTTACAGTAGATTAATTACATAGTGAATTGCATACCATAATTTTCTTATAATTTTTGGGAGTCAAAATCCATATAAACTGTTCAAATCTGTCCAGGAAACTAGTACGAAACAGTAACTTCGGAAGTGTCGTTCTCTTTGGATATAAATCTTAAAATTACCAAATTAGCGCCATTAGAACCGGTCTTGAGTCTAGTTTCTTAAATTTTTGTCCTTGTGTTGATTGCTTGTGTATACTAAGAGAACTATTAATTTCTTTAAAGTGCTGCAAAAATCGACCTTTTTGGATATAAGTAATCGTAAATAATTATTTTGATAAGCGAATTAAGGAAAACCAATTGGGTTTGAATCTTAGGATATATTAGTTAATATATGAAGGGTTTTGGAATTTTTCTAACAGCGTTAAGTGGGTTTTTAATTTTCAAAGTTAGCGAATAGATTGGAAAAATTTGTTTTAAATTCTGTTTTATTTTAAAGTTACTTCTAATTAAATTTCAATCTGAACCCATGTCTTGGGTAATTTTAGACCTTGAAGAACATGAACTTGAGTATTATTTAAGAGTAACGGCGAGTTGGGTTGAACCGGGATAGTACGCTTTAGCTTGAGGTTACTTAGTTTTTTATTCTTTTTTATTTATTTTTTTAAATTAGTAGTGACGTGTAGTTTTCATACTTGGGTGAGGACACTAGTTAGACTTTATACTCTATTCGAGTATTACATTATTCTGTTTTCAGGTGAGTAGTTGCATGTTACATATTTTTATAAATGTTCCCCTACTCTAAACTGTTGAAAAATTAAATTTTTGTTTCAGTTCTAAACTATTTTGATAAAATTATTATATTATCAATGAAATTAACTTATTTCTAAAGCATGTGTAAATTTGGCATATTGTAAACTATTTATTATGGTCTCATGTTTATTTTGGTGAACTACCATGTTTTGCGAAACTGAATCTTATGGATTATTGGGACCATCTATATATAAAAGTTCAGGGAAATTATTCCACTCTGTGTGGTGACTCTGGTCACTAGGGAACAGATTCGGATTGGGCTGTGATGACTCTAGTGCTCAATGATTGTAAGGAAAAGACCTAGGCTAGGCTAGGTGACCTTAAATTAGATCGTCTTAGAGAAAAGGCCTGAGTTGTCACCCCGAGAATGACTCTTGGTTTGATATTGGATCCAATGTGCTTATTGCCTTGAGAACTTTATGGCATGTTACTTGTTATTCTTGGTACCCAGTAAATTATTGATGATCATGTTGTAATTTGTTTTAAGTGGAGAATGTCATTTGTTATGTTCTTGAGAGACATGAGTATTTTAACTGTTGAATTGTGAAATCTTTTTTTTGAAACATATTGTCTTTATCAAAATTGTATGCCAATCTAGTTTCTGTGATATATATCTTATTTTGGATTTGAACCATGTTTTCAAAACTATATTTACTATCCATACTTCTATTCACTGAGCTATCTGCTGACTTAGTTGTTTTTCCAGGTGTTAGAAGGACCTAGAGTGGATTCATGGCGTAGTGGGGACTTAATTGCATGGATCTCTAGGATATTCATTGATTTTGTTTTAGCTTGTTATGTTGGTTTTGAGCATATGTTGTGGTTGAATTTTATTTAGAATTATTTTATTTTATAGGCGGATTGTGTCTCATTTAGTATATATTTTTGGAAGTTGGTTATGACTTGTTTTGCCATGCATACTTGTGACATGTCATGGGATTGAGCTTTGATTTATTTTTACTGGACTATTGTCACAGCTATTCTATGTGATTATGGATTCGTGTTTAGGCTTATGTGTGCCTTGGGTTAAGGGCCACGGCTAGTCATACCCGGGTTTGGGATGTGACAGTCTGTTTCACATATTTATTATTATTATTATTTTTTGGGGTATTATTTTTCTGAAAAACACAACTTGTTTTGAGAAAAGGTGTAGTGGGTTTCTCATATTCTACCTGGTACTGGTTTGTGCTTATGACATGTTAGCGACGAACACAACCCGCTTAATGAGCAACATCCTAGCCAGGGGCTGTTGCATTATTGAACTAACTGGACATTACTGAAATATCTTTTGGTTCTGGTTCTGGGTAAGGATTTTGATTTGTCATACCAGTCTTTAAAGAGCTTGCTGATCACTAGATGTACATTCCACTACCTTTACACTGCCTGGGTTGTTACAGGTGATGTCATGCTAATTAATGGAAAAATTTTCATTGTCTCAAACAAACTTCCTCAAATCCCATTTTTAAGCTGTATAAACTGGTTAGATATGTAGTTATAGCCTTATAAATATGGTTTCAAAACATAGAAGGAAATATCTTTAACGGGTGGTTACCCATCCCTCGTATATTTTCTGTGCATTTTTATTTTTTCCTGAATATGATATGATTGACATTATGATGGCATGCCGCTTGCCACAGCTAGTTCTAATTCGATCAAGATTTTATTTGAAGGAGATCCAAAATCCCTAAATTGGACCAATACACGTAGAGGAAATAATGTAGAGGAAATAACGTAGTAGATTATTGCACGAACTGTACAAGAGGCGAGTGCTTCTTAATCTCTCATGGATCTTCTCTTTTTGGAACATACAGGAGCAAAACAATCAACCTGTCAATATTGTAAGACTGACGCAGAATTATTATAGGAACTCTTTACGGGGTGTTTTTTCTTTGACCTTTCCATAGGAACTCTTTACGGGGGTGTTTTTTCTTTGACCTTTCCAAAAGCTTCTTCTTCGCAATTCACTTTGCTCACTTGTTCTTTATTTATTTATTTTTGTATTTTTAACAAAAATAATGAAAGTTTTAAAAACACCCATTATTTTCCTGTTGTTTGTTTTTTGTGTGAAACCAGTTCTGGAAATTTTGACGGTAACTCCCCCCCCCACCCTCCTAAAAAGTGCATAATTTTTTAAAAACAGTTTTGTGAAATAATTTACCAAATAAATTTTAGCAAATACTGTATGATCAAGACCAGTCTTGAAATGGAATATATTAAACTCTTATATCTCATGGTTTTTGGACTCCAGTTTTGATGTTTGTCTCATAATTCAACATTCAAGCTTGATACGGGTCAAGTTTGAATGGACCATGATGTTTAGATTCCATTCAACAGTTGGGAGGACTTGAATTCCGTCGAACGGTTGTCTGCTACTAGTGGGGCTAGGTAAGCATCCGGCCAACCTAACTCAATCTGACCTCAAATGAACTATTTCGATGCAATGGGTGGACGAATGCAGATTTAGCAATTTTGAAAAACTTGAGTTTCAATTGGGTGGCAGATAAACAAGTTTCAACCGGTGAAACCCAACTTGTCTAAATTAATTAGGAATTCTTTATAAATATTGATTTTTTTTATTGACAGAAAGTCAGTTGTTAATTGTTAAATTAATATCTATGAGAGTTGGCATCTTCACTCTTTGCAAAGGGTCAAGTGCTTACTCCCTTAATTCAACTCTCCCTAGGGAGAGTTGAACTTATGACATCCCCTTAGTTGAATTCATGACCTCTCCCTAGAAACTAAGCCCTTAGGACCTGTTTGTTTTCTGTTGTAGGAGTCTGGAGTGGACTTCTAGTGATGAATAGTGTTTATAAATCATGTTTGTTTAGCTTATGGAGTTCTGGATTGGTAGTCCTTTCAGATTATGAAAGGTCTCAGCAGAGTGGATTATGAGTCTAGACAAAGAGGTGGTATTAGAAAATAGTTCGTTCGGCTTAGGGTGTTACTGGTTGTTTAGCCGATCAAACAGCCAAGTGTAAATTTTTTTTTTTTTAATCATGTTGGGCAGTACATTTTGAACATTAATATTTAATGTTTTTGTATTTTTTTGTTAAGTAAAAACCATGGTTTTATTTGTTTTATTATTTTACATAAAAAGATAATTTAACAATCCCCATTCTAACAACTATTATCAAAACAAATACAATTTCAATTAATCCCCTCACTAACAATCCTCTTACTATTAATTTTCTCACTATCAATCCCCTTCAATCTACCTCTGAAAATAAACGGGGTCTTAAGAAAGTCATGGTGGCCAATTAGAATAGTCTAGTTGGTTTTATAAATACTAATATATACAAATATTTATATATTATGTTATTTATTTGTTTAATAAATAAAATATTGAAATTTGGGGGGGACCCCAGAACTTGCACTACTCATATGATGTTTTTGTAAAATTAGGATTTGTTTAATTTGCCAATCATCCGCATCCACTTGTCAATCTGACAAACCCACTTAGTCAACCTCCAAACCATAGGTGGTCGGATGCAGTTAAATTTTCTGAACCCAAACCCCATTTGGTAAGATAATTTAGCTAAACTTGGAGGTAATCAACCTCTTGAGCTGCTCAATGTGAATGAACCTCCAGACGAAATTCGCCATGCGTTAGTTGCGGATTTGTTGTATCTGGATGGGAGTAATGAGTCCTAGTCCTCTTGTTTCTCTTTTTTTGTTTCCGATGTACCCCAAAAAAAAAAAACAAAAAACCCCGTTTGGTCAGTTGACAAATCATGTGCAATCTGCCCAAATTCAACCTACGAGCATCCCTAGCTACTAGAAAGTAATTTAAAGTGTGTATTTCTTGTTTTGTTTACAAGAAAGCTAATTTTATTGCAGACTAACTTGCTAAATATGTTACGATTTCCTGGTAGAAAATAACTACTACTATCAAAGAACTGACTCCTTTTTATATTCGTTTTTATTATCTAATGTATGACAAGCCCATTCTTAATAATAAAATAAAGGGAAATTACACCGTGTCAGAATTTTTTTTTACAAAATAATAATAAATATTAATTATTAATATTATAATTTTTTTTATTAATGAGTAATTAATTTTTTCTGCCATCACTATGCAACAGTCGTCCCATACATAATTTCTTGTGCGAACATTTCTTCTACTTGGGACTTTCTTAGGTGTGCAATGCACACCATGTGCACCCCACTTATACATTTATTTTTTAAGGTTATACAAGTTTGTGCTAGTAGTTATACAAAAAAAAATATTACAACTTACATATTGGTGACTTGCTAAGCATAATAAGTTATATTATATACATGTAAGTAATTTTAAAAAAATGAGTAAGTTTTGACAAAATGTGTAAGTACGTTCACAAAACACAAAAGTTTTCATAAAATACTTAAGTTTTCACAAAATACGTAAATGATTTCACAAAAACCTGTAAGTTAACACAAACCCTAGTAAGTGTGTTCCTAAGAAGAAATAAGTTTTTACAAAATGCGTAATTTTTCACAAATCACGTAAATTATTTCACAAAAATCCATAAGTTAACACAAAAAATGGATAAGTGTGTTCCGAAAAAGTAGGTTTTCACAAAATGCATAACTTTTCACAAATCACGTAAGTGTTTCACAAAAACCCGTAAGTCAACACAAAAATGGGTAAGTGTGTTCACAAGAAATAAGTTTTTACAAAATGGGTAAGTTTTCACAACTCACGTAAGTCATTTCACAAAACCCATAAGTCAACACAAAAAATGGGTAAGTGTGTTAAGAAAAATTAAGGCTGTGTTTGGTGGAGTCTTGGAAACTTAATTCCACACCTTGGTTTGAGTGCGTTGTTTGGTTAGAATTTTCAAATATTGATTCTACACCTACTTTTGAAACACATGTCTATCCGGTCATCCTCCTGGATGTCCCCTCGGACGTCCGGCCAGTTGATTGGAACAGTGTTTTTTTTTGGCACCTGTTATTTTTATATTTTAAATAAAAAATATTTTCAGAATTTTTTAAATTTTTTTATGAGCTTTGAATAGAATTTTGGGTTGTGTGTTTGATTATGAGTTGTAAGTTTTTGAATTAAATATCATATGTCACATCGAAAATTCCATACTCAATTCAAAACTCTTTTCAAAACTCATAACCAAACAAATTTTCCACATTAAAATCATAATTTCAAAACTCACAAACTCAAAATATTCTCTATTCTCAAATCATAATTCTAAACTTCTATCAAACACTACTTAAAGTTTCACAAAATGCGTAAGTTTTCACAAATCAAGTAAGTGTTTCACAAAAACCCGTAAGTTAACACAAAAAATGGGTAAGTGGGTTAGGAAAAATTACGTTTTCACAAAATGGGTAAGTTCTCACAAATCACGTAAGAGATTTCACAAAAACGTGTAAGTGAACACAAAAATGGGTAAGTGGGTTAGGAAAAATTAAGTTTTGAGAAAATGCGTGAGTTTTCACAACTCACGTAAGTGTTTCACAAAAGCCTATAAGTCTACACAAAAAATGAGTAAGTGCGTTACGACAATTAAGTTTTCACAAAATGGGTAAGTTTTCACAAATCACGTAAGGGATTTCACAAAACCGCGTAAGTGAACACAAAATGGGTAAGTGTGTTAAGAAAAATTAAGTTTTTAGAAAATGCGTAAGTTTTCACAAATCACGTAAGTGTTTCACAAAAACTCGTAAGTCAACACAAAAAATGGGTAAATGTGTTCCCAAGAAATAAGTTTTCACGAAATGGGTAAGTTTTCACAAATCATGTAAGTTATTTCACAAAAACGTGTAAGTGAACACAAAAAGTGGGTAACTATGTTAAGAAAAATTAAGTTTTCATAAAAACCGTAAGTTTTCACAAATCACGTAAGTGTTTCACAGAAACCCGTAACTTAACACAAAAAATGAGTAAGTGTGTTCCCAAGAAATAAGTTTTCACAAAATGAGTAAGTTTTCACAACTCATGTAAGCCATTTGACAAAAAAATGCCTAACTGAACACAAAAATGGGTAAGTGTGTTAAGAAAATTTAAGTTTTCACAA